GTGGTGGTGGAATACTGAGGCCGTGGTGGTGGAATACTGAGGCTCTGTTGGTGGAATACTGAGGCCGTGGTGGTGGAGGAATACCGAGGCCCTGGTGGTGGAATACTGAGGCCGTGGTCAGGGAATACTGAGGTGGTGCAATACTGAGGCCGTGGTGGTGGAATACTGAGGCCGAGATGGTGGAATACTGAGGCTCTGGTGGTGGAATACTGAGGCTCTGGTCGTGGAATACTGAGGCCATGGTGGTGGCCCTCCCTCATCCCAGCCAGGCTGTGCATGCATCCTGATCGGATCCCCCAACCAGAGACTTAGGCAAATCTTCCACCACAGGAAATTAGGCCAATATAGAGGAGTTTCTCATCAGCATAATGGCCTTCTCCATCTGCTGCTGGAGAATGAGACCCAGCCACCACCTGCCTCTGCCCCAGGGGATGCCAGGGCAGCAGGACTCTTCCAAGTGTCAGTGGAGAACATAGGGTCCGGTTGGATTCATAGAAGGCAACAAGGGGCATGTCCCAACCATCTGCTTACTTGGACTTGAGATGCTGAATGGTGCCCATACATCGAAAGGCACCCTTTACCATTATTGCCAGCCGGGTACACAGCGCCTCACATTCTTCCATGCTGTGGGGCAGGAGAGAGAGGGTGAGCAGGGGAGGACTCCCACCCACCTTCCCCAGCCCTGGAAATCTCTTGCCTGTGGGATGTGAGGACCACTGCCCTCCCTTCTCTGATGATGCTCACGATGACGTTCCACAGCATGCGGCGTGCCTGGGGGTCCATCCCTGTGGTGGGCTCGTCCTGAGGGGGAAGGTGGAGAGAAGGTGGGAGGCACAGGCTGGGAGCTGGCCCTTCTGGTTGCTGCTTCTTCCTGGACTGGCTCCCCTGGGGAGGATGAGCTGACAGACAGCACACACAGTCACTCCCCAGTTGAGCAAGACAGGGGTATCCTGGTGCAGGGTACAGAAGGTAGGAGGTGGATCTGAGAGTAAAGAAGCATGGTGTCCACCCCGGGCCCATTTCAGCCCGCGAGGGAATTAAAGTGGATTAAGGCAATGACAGAATTCTCCTCAAAAAAGAAAATCCTGCAAATATGTCAGGAGGCAGGGAGGTCACTCAGGTCACTTCCCTGGTTCCCGCTATATCTTGTGCCTGTGCTCTTATGATCCTTGGGTTGTGTGGGCATGGCCTCAGGCCTGGCCCAGCTCAGGGGAGGGTCACACAAGCCTTTGACCCAGCTCAGTGCTCCTGTTTGGGGACCAGACACCAACAGGCCGCAGAGCAGGCTAAACTTCCTGGCTGTGAGCTGGTGGCCCCAAAGGAGACATCCTGAGAATGCATAGTGAGACTATGCCATGACTTGCTTTTCTCCAGAGCTGCATGAACCAAACACTGGTCCAGTCACTCAAAATGAGCAACACAAGAAACCGTCCAGACAAAAGCCAAATTGCTGCAGTTTCTAAATCTGCTGACCCAGAACCTATTTCCCCAACCTGAGAGACACAGCACTTGGTTTAAGCCCTTGGGGTGGCACAAGCCTGCATTTACCAGCAGCACCAGCGGTGGGCAGCCAATGAGCGCGATGGCTGTGGAGAGTTTCCGCTTGTTGCCCCCACTGTACGTGCCAGCCAGGCAGTCCGCATAGACAGTCAGACCCAGGCTCTTAATACTCCAGTCTGCGACCTAGAGAAAAGAAAGAAATCCCATTTGGAGAAGACAAGAAAACATCCAAACCTCCTCCAGTTCGAAGCCTTGGCTCCCAGATCTCACGCCTCTAGAATGAAAGACCCAGCTAGGCTGAAACAGGCTGCCTGCTGGCTCCTGTCCTCTGGCATATGCTTCAGGCACCAGACAGGGTCTCTTTCACTCTGTCTTGGATCCCAGGGTGGCCCGGTCAGCTCACCACCTGTTGGGTGTAGCCCCGTGGGAAATGGCCTTCAACCTTACAAACAGCAAGATGGTGGGTCTCGCCCAGTGTCCTGGACCATGGCTAGGAGTAGGGGAGGAAGGGTCCGTTTGAGAAGACGGTGAGTTCCAGACCCGTTGGTCCCACCCCTCAAGAGAGTCACACCTGAAGCCTTGTGCATACGACACGTACCTATGGAACAGGCACTGAACCAGGCACGGAGAACAATGTGAACACAGACTGCGGGGTGGTGACAGTTAAACAGAATACTGGCAGATTATTACAATGCCATGAGGAACGATGACAGAGATACCAGGTATGTGTGCACATGCACAGGAGGGGATTTAGGGAAGCCACTGGAGACAAGCTCACCATGCTTCTGCCTTCTGTACTTGTCCCCCGTGTCTAGAATGTTCCTCCCTAGGTGTGCACACGGGTCCCTCTCTCACCTCTAGTTCTTCACTCAGGTCCTCTCCTTTGTAGGCTCTTTCTGGGCCATCTGACCTCAAAGTGCAAACCCTGCCCTAACAATTCCTCCCTGCATTTCTTTTCCCTAAGAACTTTTCACTCTTGAATGTACTGGAGATTTTACCTATTTATCTACAGATTGTCTATCCCTCCCACTAGAATGTAAGCTCCTTTTTTAGCTTTTTATTTGGAAATAGTTTCAAACTCACACAAACATATAAGAATAAAAAATAGTGCATAGAACACTATTAACTAATAAACTCTTCTCTCTCTCTCACAGACACACATACACACGCACACACACACAAAATTTTTTGTGACTCATTTGAGGGTAAGTTACTCATTGTGGCCCTTCACTCCTAAATACCTCAGGGCATATTTCCTAAGAATAGGGATATTCTCTCACATAACCACAGTACATTATCAATGTCAGTAAATTGAACGTTATGATCCATTTATCTAATCTACCATTCACAGTTAAGTTTTGTCAGCTGGTCCAATAATATCCTCTATCATTTTTTTTCTCTTCTGCACAAGATGTGGTCTATTGTCTGTTTTCAGTCATTATACCTATTTAGCCTCCTGTGCTTGGAGATATTTCCATAGCTTTTTCTTTGTCTTTTATAACTTTTATATTTTTGAAGAATGCAGCCTCTCTCTTTTACTTTTTTTAAGTCTCCTTCTTTGGAGCTTGTCAGAAGTTTCCTCAGGATGATTCCGGTCACATATCTCCAATCTGGATACTACATAAGTGAAATTGTGTCCTTCATAGGGTATCACATCTTGGGGCATGAGATGTTCATCTGCCCCTTATAGGTGATGTTAATTTTGATCACCCAGTTAAGGTACTATCTAATTTCTCCATTATAAAATTATTATGCTTCTTTCTTGCAACCAATAAGCAATCTGTACAGAGATATTTTTATTCCTTTAAAATTACATTATTATTATCTTTTTTGTAAGAGACAATCTTGCTCTGTTGCCCAGGCTGGAGAGCAGTGGCATGATCTCAGCTCACTGCAGCCTCAACCTCCCGGGCTCAAGCATTCCTCCCACCTCAGCCACCTGCGTAACTGGGACTAATTTGTTAATTTTTTTGCAGAGATGGGGTCTCCCTATGTTGCACAAGCTAATCTGGAACTCCTGGTCTCAAGCGATCTTCCCACCTTGGCCTCTCAAAGTGCTGTGCTTACAGGTGTAAGCCACCATGCCCAGCCCATTATTTTTTTTTAAAGTACTTTCTTACTTTCTGGCATAAGATATTCCATGTTCATTTTATACCTATGCCATTCCAGCCCTGGAATCTATTATTCATTGGAGGAATCAGGGTTACTTTTAGTGGGGAATATTACTAAGACAAAAGTCTGAGCACTAAGTGTGCTCATGGCTACTGGGATGTTTTTGTTTTTTGATCCTTTCAGAATTCAGGAATATTGATATGCATGGGTTTGTGGGTACGTGCAGATGTGTTCCTATGTGTATGAAACATGAACACATCTGCATGCAACCACAAACACACGCATATCATATTCCTGAATTCCCAGTGCTATCTCCAGTTTCAGTCCATGGCCTCACAGTTCTTTCTTGCTTTTCCCCTTTCCATATCTGTAGGTCCCTTCTTTTACAATGAGAATTCTGGGTCTTAATAACACCAAAACATTTATTAATTTATTAATCGTGTAACACATCTAAAATTTTCAGAATCACATTGGCCATACACCATAAAAAACAAACTAAAAAGAACTCAGAAATTATTTGTAGTCCTTCTCCACAACTCCACCCTGCCCAAGAATGAGGATATACAGTCAAATACTGTGTTAATCAGTTGTTTGTATTAGCTCTATTCCCCTTTTGCAGGATTATGTATTTATTTGAAATAAAATTGGGTTTCTTTGTCTAGTTTGCTGTCAGAATTAGGTTTTCTTTATGTTTCACTTTTGCCTACTTCCCATTCTTACTGATTTTGTTGTGGAACATTAACATGCTTCCACAAGTTAAAACTAAACAAAAATATATCCCCAGAAGTGCTATTCCCTCCCATTTTCTTTCTTCCCAATTGCTTCTTGTTGATCACCAAATTCATTGTTTTCTGGCTTATCCTTTCTGTGTTCTATTTGCAAAGCTAAGCAGACATACGTTTACTTTCTTGTTTTTCCTTCTTTCTAACATAAAAAGTAGCATTTTATATGTTTTGTTTTCCACTTTACTTTTTTTTTCATCTCTGTATCAGTTCACTGAAATTTTCCTTTTTCCTTTTTATAGTTGCATAAGACTTTATTGTGTGTCTGTACCATACATTATTCAACCAATCTATAATGACTAAACATGCAGGTAAACTCCAGCATTTTGCAATTACAAATGCAACAGATCACCTTGTACATACTCATTTTGTACTGTGGGAGATGTATCTTCAGGAAAAGCTCTTAAAACTGTAATCGCTTAGTCAAAGGATAAACACATATATCGTTTTGTTAGATATGGGAGTGGGAATTTTTCTTTGTCTGTCTCATTCACTGCTCTACCCCTGGTTTCTAGAAGAGTACTTGGCACACAGTAGGCACATAGTAAACATTTTTTGGAATGAATGAATGAATGAATAGCATCCTTCAGTTTCTTATCTCCAAGTGAATGCACTCTCAGGAAACAGGCTTGTAATTAACCAGATTCCTATGTGGCCACAACAAATCATTTTTTACCTTTTCAATTTCCTCTGCTGGTACACCTCGAAGCCGGGCATAAAAGTAAAGATGTTCTCGTCCTGTGAGCAGCTCATCAATTGCATCAAACTGAGGACAGTAGCCCATATTTTGATGGACTTCAGAAATATTGGTTAAAATACTGCAAGAAAAAAAGCAATGAGTGATTTTCCTGCAAGGGGATGGAGGGATGACCACAGAGCTAGGGCTGGAGAAGCTTCTGCCAATGGGAAAAGGAAGCTGCTTCTTCTCTTCTCATACTTGGCTTCAGAAATGCATACAATATTTGGGAATCAAAACAGGGGCCCTTTGATTAGAAACTGAATCCTGTCAGATTCTTCCATGTTTCCATGTCTGGGATTAATTGAATCCATGTTACACCAAAAGTCAGCTTTCATTTTGGATCAGATCACCTCACATGTGAGTTTAGAAACAGAGGGAAGGTCAGGTTTAAGAAAATAATTAATGGTTTTAAATATTCTTCAGACATTTGGAAAGTAACTAGAAAAGATGGATGTGTCCCGATGGAAGTAAACTTCTCTATCTGTGTTTATTGGCAAAGATAGCAATGAAAGAGGAGCCAGTCAGATAACTACTCACAGCAAGAGGCCTGCAAGGAGCAGGGCTAGAGCAAGTTGGGTTCCATCAACTCCTTTTGGCTAAAATATTCACCCCCACTATAAAATATATTGCCATGATGGAAAATAAACTATACATAGACATTTGGTCTAATCTCATCCTTTTCTTCTTATAGTTTAGGGTATATGAATAAAGGATGGATGAAATATGATGGCACAGAGAGAGACCATTGCAGTTCCCACAGTGACAAAAGCCACCAGAGGTATGGCAGGGCCAATTAAAACTACCCAGGGAAGCAAGGAGGGTACATCTCCAAATTAGCAGGAGCTACCCCACCAGAGAATCCCAATTCCGTGTCTTAAACCTGTATTTTCTTTCTAGCGTCCAGCTCAGTTTTACCTTCTGGACGTCAGACTGTGTCTCACTTGGACACAGTTATAACTTGATGTCTCATAAATGTGCTCATGGAAAATTCTATGATATCCTTTCCCCTCCTCCACCCTGCCATGACTCATTTTGTCACCATCATGCAGTCACCTGCATGGTCACTTGCAGGTGAAGCTGGATCTGTTGAGATAGACTTAGCCGTGACCTGGCTTTACCCCTGCCTGTCCCTTTTCCATAAACCCAGTAGGGCTGGTTACGGAGGCCAAAGAACCAAATCATTGTGTCTGAGCCAGTGAAGCATGCTCAGGACTCTTCCTGCCCACTCAGCATTGGGCCATGCTGAGGATGGCTTTCAGGGGAGAGAAAGAGCCCCCAGTCAAGCAGATGCTGCACAGATGTCAGCAGCACCTTACTCCACTTACAAACCAGGGCAGAGGCTCCCTCTGGGCACCTCTACTGTGTGTGCTGAAGTTTTACTGTTCAAGCTTTTCCTGCAGCCAGGAAAGAGGCAAACAAGTGAGAGCCCATCCTCTCTGTCCTGCCCATAGGGGACCAGTTTGTTTAAACATACTTTATTACAGAGAGCAGCAGTCACCCTCCAGAATCCAAGGGCACACGCCAGTTTTTCCTTTATGCTCCTTGGTCTGGCAAAGCCAAACTTCAGCCTACAAATAGCCAATGCAGGTTAAGCCCTCTCAAGGGCCTATGAATGAGCCTCCATATAGAAACTCAACCCAGAGGAAGGATGCCTCATCACAGGGGTTCTTAACGTGGGATCCAAGGGCTCCTGCAGGATCATAAATGTGAACCACAGCTCAGTAAATTCCCTGAAACTTTTTGCAAAAATGTGTGGAGGGAGGTAATGGGAGGCAGTGGTGCATTTTCATAAGAATAGGGTACAAATATTCATCAGATGCTCAAAATATTCCATGACCTCAAAGAGATTAAGAACCACACACTTAGTGCTTCCCAGATCTTTCCAAGAATCTATGCCAACAGAAGAATCTCTTAACAATCACAATTCAGTTCAAATTTCTGGTGGGTCTATGTGTTGGGTTTTTTGGGCCATGCCCTCTGGGAGGCCTCCTTCTCTGTATAGATCTTTCAGGGCCTCATATAGACCCTAGTGGAGGGTCTGATGGTCACCCTTCCTCTTCTGGGAGAGGGGCATGGCCCAGGACCTGTGAGAGACTCCCTGAGACAGGAGGAGCAGGACACTCACCTCTTGCCTG